TAATCGAAAATTATCCCTAATCGAGGTCATTTAAACGATGGACGGTTAATGACCAATTGAGATTAGTGTGTAGTCAGATTTATAGCACCGTTTCTTGTGCTACGAGGACATGAATGTCATAAATCATTTGCACAGGTATTTGTTTAGAACCATACTGGATCGACCTATGAGAATACCTTAAGAGATTAAAAATCGTCATAAGTATACTTCTCATTATGGCTATCGGAACCTATTTCCTCCACCATGAGTATTGTGAGTTCTCTTGTTTGAGTACTAGTCCGCTTTGATGTTGACAATCGTCTACCGTAATAGGGGATTATAACGACAACACTCGGGCGGCTAGGTCCTCTAAGTAAGAGGAGCTACATTACAAGACTGGGAATGTCCCCCTCCTAAAATAGGGAAGATGTCTTTGTTGTATACAAGGCCCCTCGTAGAGCGAGACTGTAAAAATGCAAGGCCGTGCTCGGATGGATTTTAGAAATCATCTATTTATTGACAGTCGGACTCAAAATCGAGAAACACTTCTGGACATAATAAGGATGACGAAATAATCTTACCTTATAGTTCAAGAAATGACATTAAGTGACATAGGAAAAAGGTTGTACACTAAATGCGCACTTGTCCGGAAGGACAAGTGGGAGATTGAAAGGAATGGTGTCCTTCGAACAAGTTTACTATTCCGTTAGTGGGTTCGCAAATTATAGAAAGCTAATATATTCTGTAAGGTCAAGTGATCAGAATGTCTAGGTGGAGGCCGCTTCCGATTAGTAATATTAATGCATAATTAATATTACAACTTAATCTTGACTGAACCCTTCGGGTCACACCCTTTGCAGTAAACGAACCGACTCGACGAATTAATTCGGAAGAAATTAATTTGTCGCCCGAGTATTAAATATTTAGACGTCAGGAATTCAAGCTTGGAGCGTCTAACCGAGCGTCGGAGAATCTCAATGTCGAGCGAAAATTTAGGATTTGGCGAGACAGGAAAATGCTTCAAGTAACAAGTAAAATCCTAGCCACACGAAAGGCTAGGAAAGTTCGCCTAATAGGAGCATGCCACATGGCAGAACACATGGCAAAGCCATGTGGCAGCACACATGACAGCCGCCACGTTGGCAGCCACCTAGTGGCAGCGCGCCACTGTGGCGACATATATGGCAAGGGCCGTGGACCCGGGGAGATGGGTCATGGACACGGGCCAAAAAAAAATGGCCCAACCGAACCCAACTTGGGGCACAAGGTTAGGTGACACATGGTTAGTTCACATTGCATGTGAAATGCCTTGGGGACCAAGTGGAAAAGTTTTCCTCACCTAACCATGTGACACTTGTTACTTGTTCCTTGGTTTATTTAACTATGGGTTGAATTCATCAATCTTTCCATGTGAGATCTTTTTGTTAAAAAGTCCCACATTGAAAGATGAGTGGAATTCCCAAGCTATCCTTCCTTATAAATAGCCAAAGCATGGCATGCGAATTCCTTGCTTGAGTAGGAGTTTTTGTGGATGGAATTTTGTTGGAGGCTCTTGTGTTAGCGGGGCTAAAGCTTTCATGTAATAGCCCGACTTTGAGGGCGAAGCACACGTTAAAGGTAAATTCTGATTTTATCCATTCATGTTTATTTGTTATGCTTTATGGTTTTATTAATTGCGAGTGGTTCTTTGGGTCGGGGTTGTTTCAGCGGTAAGTTGGACTTACCAAATCCCAACAGAATACTTATGGATAACGAGTTAAGCCACAAAACATAAAAGACTAGCCCAAATTAAAGAAAAGCCAAAACAAAGGTCCAATTACCTAAACCCGATCATAATTAGGATTAAGCCCTTGCATAAACCCTAATAATGTCAGATTTAGGAGCGCCTAGGTTAAAACTTAGTGCTGCCGCAGAAAAATTCGCGCGCATCTCACAAAGTTGCGCATCTCACAATGACGGACTTACCAAACGCCCAGCGCAACTTCCAGAGTTTCCCTGCGGAAAATTTGTAATTATTCAAAAATTATATGGAAAATATAAAATTGAATCTTACCATAATGCCGCGCACAAGACCAATAGTTGCGCTGCACATAGCAGCGCAACTTTATAACTTGTGTTGGGTTGCCGTGCGCAACTTCATCTGTTGCGCGTGACACCTGCTGCGGCAGAAAGCTCAAAACCCTAAACCTAATCCTTCTCTATAAATACGAGCTTAAACCGAGGCTTCAATAGATATAAATTAACCTAAAACTCTAGCGAAATAACTTGTGAACTTGTGCAACCTAGCCCTCTTTTCCTAAACACTCACCCTTTCGATACTTAGTTACTACGGTGGAGGTTCCCCAACAATAAGGTGTCCATAAGTGTTCTAAACTGAGATCTAGCAAAGAGAAGGGATAAATTCTCAAGCACTTAGTTAAATCACCTTTATTTTTCTTATTTAAAAGGACTTTAATTAATTAATTAGTGTTGTTTGATCACTTTTTATATAATTAATTAATCAATTCCACATAGTATCTTGCGTTAAATAAAGACTAGAATTGAATTAAATAATTGTTGGTTGATCACTAAAGCCAAGGTGAATCTTGTTTATTTATTGTTCTTTCACGAATATTATTAAATAAGAATAACGACTTTTGCAATGTAATTACTAGGTGAATTAATGCTTGTAAATAAAATCAACTAAGAACGCGTTACATATATTATTTGGTGATGAAATTGTGAAAAAGGAAGAGCTAGTAGAGGCCGTTCTAGGGCTAGGATGACGATTCCTCTCTAAAAGGAACGTTATCTTAGTACCCTCGCTCCTGAACTCATTTCTGGTTTGTAGACTAATTTGGGCATGGCTAAACTTATTTTTTATGCTAATTATTCCATGAACTCCACATGGAAGAAAGGAATGAACGAGGTTTATGAGTTTTTCCTAAAACTTATTGGCGACTCCTACTTGTTTCTTATAAAAAAAAGCGTGATGATAGAATCAATTCTAATTCAAGGTCCCCCAAACAGTCAGGAATTCAAATCCTACTACACCCAAACAAGTGTAGTCCTAGACTTTTAAGTGGCCAAGGGCAGTTAAGAAGAGTACCCCTTACGATGGGATCACCCTCCTTACGCATATTATTAGACTTGGTGATGACTCTCAAAGCATAATAATTCAATCAACAATAATTATTCAATCAAACAAACATACCAATTTAATTCTTGAATAATTAGTGACCACATAATATTTAATGTTGAACCCTTTTTAATTCTACCTCAGTGTGAAAGACACCTTAAATGCATAAAGCGCCACAAGTCCTATCCTCGGTGTTTAAAACACCTTAAGTGCACAAAGGCACCAACAAAAAAATTATTCCTAGTGTACATAGACACTTATATAGCTCCTTTATTATGCTTAAAGCACCAATAAAAATTATACGATCCATAATAAAATTCCTTTTCAATATTCCAAGCCAAATTAAATATGTAGTTTAATCAAACATATATTCTAGCATGCCATAAATAAAAGTGTGGTCATATCTTCATGCCAAAATATAATTTTCCGATCCATAAACCATCACAAATATATCATGCTTCACAATTCAATTACCAACACCAATAATTCACAATTCCAAACATAAACCTTAGCATGATACTACTTGCAATTGATTTAAATCAAGCCTAACATGATACTACATCACCAAATATACTAAGTACACGAACATACCTTGAATACAATCTTAAAATCGCCACCACTAATAAAAATTGCTCACTTCAAAGTCTCCTACAATTTAAAATCATAGAAGAGTATTAAAATCTACTCTACATAAATTTCCAGCAATATATACTATTATAAAACACTTCATAATTAATTAAAATAAGCTGAAATTATATTTAAAACATCATACTTTAGTCCCAATTAATGGGTAACTGAAATTTCTTACAGAAACTTAGTTTTAAATACTATATTAAAAATTCCAAGACTTTCTTTTAATTAAAACTTGTTGTAATTAAGCCTAAAACACTTTAATCAAATATTTAAACCATTATACAACATAATCCTTCAATTATTCACAAATTAAGAACCTAGGGTTTTAAAAATTGGGGCTTTTTAATTAAAAACATAATGAAAATTAATCAACATAATACTTATAATCAAACATTAAAATCAAATCCCAAAACTCATAATTTACAATTAGATTTAAGCATAGATTAAATTAGAACAATAAAGATTAAGTTTTTTTAATCGAAAAAGGAGGAAGAAGGAGAACGACATCCACCTACTGCCGGCTACTGGCAAAGGCGGCCACCTGCTACCGGTGGCTGACGCTGCTGGCAGCGGTGGAGAGGAAAAGAGCAGCCGAAAAAAAAAAAGAAAGAGGAAGGGGAAAAGAAAAAGAAAGAAAAATAAGGAGAAGAGAGAGAGAAGTTTACCTTGGGTTTTCTTCACTCTTGGTATAATTGATTTGCCTCATAAGTGGGATATTTATACCCCTTCTCTACCAACCCTTTCCCCTAAACTTTTCTCTTTTAATTTTCCTAATCCCTTCCTTAATAAAACTTATTAAAAAATCATACTTTCTTAAAATAAACCCCAACTTTTATAAAATAAATAATAAAATAAATCTTCCTTTTATAAAATATTTCGAAACTTACATAGAATAAATAATTAAAATACCATAATTAAAACATTAAAATTATTTAAATACCTTTACAAAATACATATTTTAAATAAAATACCTATAAAAATATGGAGTATTACAGTCTACCTCCCTTAAAAAAAGATTCGTCCCAAAACTTGGGAACAAAATTTAAACTTTTTCCTCTTTTTGTATAATACTGCTGTACTTTTTGTCATTCCTTTACCCTTTTGTGTCTCTTTGAGAACACAATTACTCAAAATACTTTGTAAAAATTGTGCAAAAATCACAAAAATAACTAAAAACATAGGGTAAAAGCGTGAAATTCTACCGCATTCTACCCCCCTTAAAGAAAATGAGTTACGCCCCAGTAACTCAACATACCTGAAAAAACTCTGATTATTTCTTTTTCATTTCGTCTTTTGCCTCCCAAATGGCTTCCTCATATTCCTGGTAAGACCAAAGTACTTTCACAATCTTAACATTCTTATTGCGTGTACTACGCACTTTACTGTCAAGGATCTTGACAGGTCTCTCTTCATAGGTCAAATTTTGGTCTAACTCAATGGTTTCGGGTTGTAACACATGGGACTTATTAGGTATGTATCTTCTCAATTGAGACACACTAAATACGTCATTTACCCTACTAAGCTCCATAGGTAAGGCCAACCTATAAGCTACTTTGCCTACTCTTTGCAGTATTTCATATGGTCCAATGTATTTTGGACTAAGCTTTCCTTTCTTCCCAAATCTCATCACTTTTTCATTGGTGACACCTTTAACAATACTTTATCACCAATTTCAAACTCTTCTTCTCTACGCTTCAAGTTTGCACAACTCTTTTTTGGTCTTGAGCTGCTTGAATCTTAGATTGAATTTCCCTTACTTTCTTTAATGTATCCACAATAATTTGAGGCCCTAGAATCATTATTTAACTAATATCATTCCAACAAATTAGACTACTACACTTCCTCCCATACAAAGCCTCAAATGGAGTCATTCCTATGCTCGCATGGTACCTATTATTGTAGGAAAATTCAATTAAATCCAAGCTATCTTCCCACCCTCCTTGGAAGTTTATTACACAGGCTCTCAACATATTCTCCAAGGTTTGAATGGTTATTTCGGTTTGTCCATCTGTGGCAGGGTGAAACGCCGTACTCATCTTAAGTGTTGTACCAATATTTTCCTGTACACTTTTCCAGAATTTTGAAAGAAACCTTGAATCTCTATAAGACACAATATCCTTTGGAACCCCATGTAACCTTACAACATGTTTGATGTAAGCTTTCGCAAGTTGCTCCATTTTCCAAGTCTCTTTCATTGGTATAAACATAGTGGATTTTGTAAGTCTATCTACTACTACCCAAATTGTGTCATTTCCACTCTTTGACTTAGGAAGGCAAGTCACAAAATCCATTGTAATGCAATCCCACTTCCATCCTGGGATTTTCAATGACTACACAGTCCCTTGAGGTCTCTTGTGTTCTATCTTCACCTTTTGGAATGTTAAACATTTTGCTACAAAATCAGCAACCTCATTTTTCATTCTAGGCCACCAAAACATTTTCTTCAAATCCCTTTATAGCTTGTCCCCTCTTGGGTGTACTTAGTAGAATGTATTGTGGCCCTCTTCCATTAATTTTCTTTTCACTTTCTCACATTTCTGTGGTACGCACCATCGACCTTTATACCTCAAACTCCCATTTTCATAAATTTTGAAGTCTGTAGCTTTTCCTTGCTTAATTTTCTCGCGAATCTTATCCAACTTTACATCTCCCTCATGGTTTGCTCGTATCTCATCGAATATTGATGCTTAGGTTTGCAAGGATACCTGCTAGTACTCCACATTATACAACTTCTAAATTCAATTTCATCATTTCTCTACACAACTCATTAACTACTAATAATGTGTTTAGTCTATGAATGGACTTACGACTTAGAGCATCCGCAACTACATTCGCTTTCCCCTCATGGTATTGTATATCTAAGTCATAATCCGTTGTATACTCTAACCATCTTCTTTGACGAGAGTTCAGATCCTTTTGGCTGAAAATGTACTTCAAGTTCTTAAGATCTGTGGTAAATTCAACATTTCACTCAATATAGGTAATGGCGCCAAATCTTTAGTGCAAAAATGATTGCAGCTAGCTCCAAATCATGGGTTGGATAATTCACTTCATGTGTCTTGAATTGCCTCAGCGCATATGCAATCACCTTTCCATTTTGCATAATTATACACCCTAAACCATTCTTTGATGCGTCTCTATACACATCATACACCCCACTATCGTCTAGCAATGTAAGCACTGGTGCTGTGATTAGTTTTTGCTTCAGCATTTAGAATTCTTCCTCACACTTATCATCCCACCTCGAACTTCTTATCCTTTTTCATTAAGGTAGTCATAGGTTTAGCGATCTTAGAGTAATCTTTAACAAAACGCCTGTAATACCCTGCTAAACCTAAGAAACTCCGCACATCAGATACTGTTTTGGGTGTTAGCCAACTCTTAACAGCTTCTATCTTGGCTGGGTCTACTTCTACTCCATCCTTGGACACAAAATGTCCTAAAAATGCTACCTTTTCAAACAAAAATTCACACTTAGAGAACTTTGCATAAAGGTGGTTTTCTCTTATTGTTTCCAAAATTTCCCTTAGGTGTTCTGCATAGTCTTTTTTGCTCTTTGAGTACACCAATATGTCATTTATGAACACTGCCACAAACTTATCCATAAATTGATGAAACACCCTATTCATCAAATCCATAACGATTGCTGGAGCATTAGTCAATCCAAATGGCATAAATGTAAACTTGTAGTTTCCATATCTTGTCCTAAATGCAGTTTTAGGGATGTCCTCATCTGAAATCCTCAATTGGTGATATCCAGACCTCAAATCGATCTTTGAAAACACTATAGCACCCTTTAATTGGTCAAACAAATCATCTATTCTTTATAGGGGATACTTATTCTTTATGGTCACCTTTTTTTAATTCCCTATATTTAATGCACAACCTCATACTTCCATCTTTCTTCTTCACAAATAGAACTGGCTCTCCCCAAGGAGAAACGCTTGCTCCTTTAACTCACTCATTTCAGCAGGTGCCATTCGATATGGTGCTTTAGATATTAGGGCTGTTCCAGTAACTTAATCTATGGTAAAGTCAATTGCCTTCTTAGGCGGCATTCCAAGAACCTCCTTTGAAAATACATCCAGGAATTCATTGACTACTTCTATATTTTCGGGTTTCGTCACTTGTTCACGATCCATATTCCTTACACTAAAGAAATATATTGGATTCCCCTTCTTCATGTACTTTCCCAATTTTGCACCGATATTAACCTTGGGCACTTGGTTTCACCATGCATCCAGTAAGTTATCGATTCTTTCCCATTTGTGACCATTTTCACTTTCTGCGACCGACAACTGATCTCAGCATTGTACTTACTAAACCAATCCATTCCCAAAATGAGATCAAAGTCACTCAACCCAAACTCAATGAGGTCAGACAAGAATACTTTCCCTTTTATTTCTAAAGGCACATTTTTATAGGTTTTGGTACATTTCACTACCTCACATGTAGGAATTGTTATTGGTAGATCTACTACTTCTACTGATCCTATACAGTCTTTAAGTTTTGAAACAATGCCTTTAGAAACAAAAGAAAAAGTGTACCAGAATCAAACAATACCTTAATAGGAATATAGTTAATAGAAAAAGTACAAGTGATCACATCTTTCGTGGAATCTGTCTCATGCCTACTCAAAACATTCAATTTCCCTGCAGCTCCACCTTTATGTTGATTGTTCCCACTGTAATTGTTATTGTTCTTCACCCCATTCTGTTGCACTTTCTTATTCCCATTAAAGTTATTGTTGTTCTCCTGAAAATTCCACTGGTTTCCTCTTGAATTATTGTTTTGCCGGTTCCCATTAGTATTCTTAGAGAAACATTCATACTCCCTATTCCCAAGTTTATTACAAGCGCGACAAGCAACTAGATTGCCTTCGCAATCCCTACAAGGGTGATTGTTCTTGCACCTTTTGCAAAAATAAGTCCTTCCATTCTTGTTATTCACTTGGTTATGGTGTTTTGTTCCTCCATTGTTATTACGTCCTCCTTGACGATTATTACCTTAAAAGTTATTATTATTGTGGAAGTTATTGTTGTTATGGTGGTACTTATGCTTCTTAAAACCGTTCTGGTTTCCCTGTTGGTTACCATAAACTTGCCCCACTTCCTTCCTCTTCTCTCTTCCTTCTATCTCAGCTAACTCCTTCTTTTTCTTCTCCTCCAATGTGTAAAGGTGTGCGGCCCTTCCATATACTTCATCCAAGGTCTCAAACACTTGCCCGCACAGCTTTAACTGAAAATCAGTAGTCAAGCCACTCTCAAACTTTCTAGCCTTTTCCTTTTCTGTAGCAACATACTCTTCAGAAAAACGAAACAACTCAATAAACTTGGTGTAGTATTCAGTTACTGACACTTTTCCATCCTAAGGTTTGAGAACTCCTCAGCTTTCTACTTCTGTAAGAGGCTAGGGTAAAACTTATCTCTCACTTTCTCTTGGAACTTAGCCCAATTGAATCCAGGTAGTGCCCTAATTGTAGTTTCATTTTGTTGCCACCAATGGTCAGCTTTACCCCTCAGATAGTAGGTAGCACATCTTACTTTTGAATTTTCTAGGCATCCTACAACTCCAAACAACTTCTCAAACTCCCTCAACCAGTTTTCTAGTATGGTAGGATAAGGCTCCTCTTGATATGTTGGTGGTTTACTTTGAGCCACCTTCTTAAAAAGCTTCCCTTGGGCATCCCCATTACAAGTCGAGTTTCTTGCCAGTTGTTGGGCAACTGCTGCCAATTGCCTCACTACTTTGCTAAGTTCATTTCCCTCATTGTTGGTACTGCTTCCCCCTGCCATCTTTCTTCTCCTGAATTAAAAGAATAAGGCTCTAAATCAAATATGGTTTAGGTTAGATCCCAAGGCATACACTCACCTATTAATTAATTACCCTTAAATCATACACAATAAATATGAAGCTAACAATTTGGGGTAATAGTGCTAAACTTCCCAAAATTTGTAGCTTAGCAATTAATTATTGGTTACTAACCAACCATGCATTTAATAAAGCATCACATAAATAAATAAAAATAATTCCCATGAACCCTCAAGGCTTGAAACTATGAATTAAATTCAATTGGGGTAAGGTTTGTAAATTTGGGATATCAATACAAGATGGATAATTTGGAGATGGAACTATTTGTTGTGATTGAGACGAATTAAATTGGCAGAAAGAATTAAAGAAATAAAGTGGAAATTTTTTTGATATAAAGGAAGAATAAAATACTGAAATAAAAATGAGTTTAATCACTTATGAATTTTCATAAGTTCACTGAATCCTTGTGGACATGCCACTTATTACTTAAACTGCAAACAATGTTAATATTTAAGATAACTAAAACTTCCTAATGAAAAGAATTTATAGGAGTCTACTCCTTTAGAACATTGTCCCTTTTGTCAGCTGATTGTTTGTAGCTTGTAGGATCGAAGTCAAAATCATCTGTCTCCTCCATTGGTTCAGGTGTCTTAGGTTCGGGTTTTACTTGTACAAACTCCCCTTTTTCCTCCTCATCAGTTGAAATGTCTATTATTATTGGAGTTGGAGGTGGAATAGGATTAGAAATTTCCATAAGTGAACTATCTCCCTCTTGTTGTTCTCCATTTTCTGCCTGATTACCCCCTGACGAAGGTGAAGAACTTTCTGACTGATGACTAGGAGGAGGATTGTTCCCTACTGGATTATCGTAGTAGTAGTCAGGGTAGGGAAGGTTTAAGTGTTGACAATAAGCTTTTTCCACTCATACAAGGTAATTATTCAGGAAAGCATGCCATAATAATCTTTGTATTTATAGTAATTTGGGATGTCCCTGGAAGGTAAAAATCAGAAAATCTCTCTTTGACAGCAATGTAAGGAGGCTCCTCCGGAAGACGATGGACAATCATTGCTAAAATATGATCAGGGGTGTCATAAACTCTATCTCGTAAGACATTTCTCATGTAGGAACAAAAGTATTTGGTCTTTTCTACAAAATCGTAGGGGTGTCCATTATGTTTCTTAACAAGTGATCCCATTTGAGTAAATTTTCTAGGAAGATTTGCATCCTGTAGAGGAAAAGTTTTAGAAAAGAATTCCCTTCCCAAAGAAAATAAAATAAATAACACAGTCTTTGTAGGAAATTAAGTTCGGTGTTCAATCATACAATCTTGAAAGATCACATATAATAATTCACATATTGCATGCTTTCATCAACAAACATCTAGTCATACAACATGCTTGAACACCTCAAAATAAAATTATGCACATAGGAAAGAAATTAAATTCTAGCCTATATGCCCTTTCTTTTCCTACCCAAGCTCACCAACATGTTATTAAAAGCTTTTAAAACATAATCGTTACCTCAATCCTTGCTTCTTGCACAATGAACAAACTAAAAATATTTTTATCCTACTTAAAAAAAATTTCGAAATCAAAGGGAAGCAGGGCCAATATTTTGGCCCTAATAAAAAAACAAAAATTCGGACGCCCCTTATAAAAATAAAATTTCGGATGCCCCTTAAAAAAAATTCAGACCATATTAAATAATAAAAAAAAAAAATTCGGTCCTCCTTTAAAATAAAATCAAAACAAAATTAACACTGCAAAATTAAATAAGCACTTGGCCAAGTTTAAAACATAGTACAAAAACGTTTTCGGGTTAGTGGTAATTAAAAATCTCAACCAAAGCTCTGATACCACTTTGTAACACTCTAGAAATTCCTTTCCTTTAAATACCTATTCTACTCTTTAAAAATACGATTTAGGACTATCTAAGACATTACTGCCACCGTGAAAACACTTTAAGCAACTATCAAAGATACACAATGGAAGACTTAAAATAAAAAACCGTTTAAAACGGTCAACTCAAAAGTCATCCAAACGAAAGTAAAGTTAAAATCAAATCAAACGAAGTCAAATATAAGTCTACCTACAACTTTGAACTATTAGAGGCCCTTATTAAAAACCGAACCGAATCCAAAACTAAACATTAGTTCCACATATAAATAATATCATAAATAAGTAAAGCATAAAACACATCGTAACTAATGAATACTAGCATGATTCGCTCTTCACTCATGCCCTGTCATGAATATGCTTCAATACCTGAAAAGCTTATCTCTACTTGTTTCCACTACTCTCCATTAAAAAGGGGTTATCATAGGGCCAAGATAAATACATGGCCAAAACACACACATACACACAAAATCAGCAAAGTTTAGTACATAAGTAAATAAACACACTAACATGCTTTCACCTATCAACACACACTTTCCTCAATGCACCTGTTTACAAGAACACACAACATTCAACAAGACTTTTCAACTAGACCACTAAATAGTTTATTTAGCGTTGATCACGCATCAAACGAGTTTCCAACTCTACCTCCCCCAAATAAATTGAGGTTAACTGACACGGGAGCTAACCGTGCCAGCACAAAACCACACATAGGTGGCGGAATTCCAGCGCATAATGATCACGTGTTAGATCGTTAAGCTACTACCCTAACCAAATTATTCATTTATAATACCTAAACCTACACTAAACTAGTTAGTGGCAAGTAAAGGGTCGAACCACTAGGGAAGCACGCTAATTCAACATAAAATATCACTAATTCAAGAGTGAAAAGGGGATTGTTTTTGTTGGTTTCGTTGAGTAAGAACACTAAAACTACAAATAAGAAAGAAAATGATGATTAAAATCAATAGAAAATTACGCTAGGGATACGGGGGTGTCCAATATGATTAGAAAGAGGAGAATAATGGTGATTATCATGAAACATATGCCAAAGAACACAAGATTCTACCTAAACGACACATTCTCATGCAATAGTCTAGGCAAATCAATGAAAGAGGTCTACACTAATAAGGATCATTCTCATGCATCCTATTAGTTACAATCAAATCAAGAGAATAAAGAAGCACAATCCATAAAAACTCCACTTTAATAACTCATTCTCATGCAATCATTAAAATAGAGATGATCCTAATCTAGTTCAAATCACTTTCATGCATTTAAACTAGAAAACATCAAATAGAGTGCAACATTAATCCCAAGATAATAAAAATCATGTCTTTCATCAATATATGGCATAAGTTCAATCCAACCATCATCATTCATCCAATATCAAATCATATCTTCCACCCCCTTCCCCTAGTTAAAAGCTTATCCTAGAGAAGGGAGATTAAAGATAATATCAAAACTAGAAATAAACTCAAGAAACTCAAAACAGAACATGATTAAAATCAATGAAATCAATAACAACTAGATAAGCTAATAAGATTGACAAGAATAAGTAACAATAAAACAAATAAATAATACTAAAGGAAAGGAGAAGAGATTACTAAAGAAAGGATTAATGAAAGATGAAAACTTGGATTCTTGCTTGATTGATGGAAGATTAAAACTTAAGCAAAGTTGAATACAATAAAGGATGCTTGAATACCAATCTATTTTCTCAATCTAGATTAGGCTAATGTTCTATGGAATAAGTACTCAGTGTCCTCTATTACAAAGAGTCCGCTATATATATATGTGGCTCCCCCAAAAGAAAGAGACTTGGAAAACAAGGCGCAAAAAACCCAGCCGTGCGCACCCGCACACGATATATGCGCGCCCGCGCAGTAGGTGTGTGCGCCCTCTCAGCGTAGTGCGCGCCCGCAACTTTGAGGGTACGAGAAAATCAAGCGCGCCCGCATAGTAGGCCTGCGTGCCCGCGCAACAGGTCGCGCGCCCGTACAGAAGCCGCACAACAAGTCACGCAAACTCTCTGGTTAGGCTCTGTTTCTTCAGCCTGGTTGCGCGGGTTTGGACAGGGTTGCACGCCCGCACAACACCCCGTGCACAGTAGTTATCTTGGCTTCATGATATCCTCTTTCTTTTGGCACATAATACCTACAAAACAAAAGCATGGAAATAAAAAAAAAACAAAGCGAGAAGACTAAGAAAAGGGAAGATAAAAGAGAAAAGAAAAGAGGAAGAAAAACTAAGTAAAAATACTTAGAAAAAGGGCCAAACAAGTGCAAATCAGGGGAGAATCCTTAGAGAAAAAGGATAAAAGAATGCCACTCATCAAAATCCCCCACACTTGGCTCTTGCTTGTCCTCAAGCAAAGAAAACCGGAACAAAAAGACAAACACAACAAACATAACATGACAAGGTTTAGCAAAACCAATCAATCCTCAAGGTAATGGAATGCTCAATTCGGACTTACATGCAAATAAATGCACCAAAGAATACTTATCTTTCTTAATTTAAAGAGGGAAAACACGTTCCAAGATGCTCAAGATTGAAAAATACAAACCTAAGCTAAGCGTAGAGGGCTAATGATTTCATTCTCCGCCCTAGCCCCAACCAAGACGATCCGCGTTCTCTCCTCTAGCTTCAATTCATCCCCTAACTAGCTCCTCATGGTCCCTCGAGTGAACCGGAAAAAGAAATTTTTATGTGGAATCATAAGGTTATCCCGATATCTCAACTATGCATACTCTCTCCATAGGATTGAAATCCATCTCCCTCCACCGTTCTTTGACCACGCCCCTCTAGAACCCAAGGGTCTTAAGTAGGGTTGTAATGTCATGGCTAGGGGTTATGGTTGGAAACAATTTGAAAATTTTGGTGGCAATTCCTAAGTGAAGCGTAAGAGTGGCCATCTCTCAAGAACATCCTAAGAATTGAACCTATTATCAAACTTATAACCTTTCAAAACATACCACACCACATTACTTCAATCTTTTTCAAATTTTTTTTTTGCTTGGTTTTCATGAGTTTCAACGTTCTTGCCAAACCTTTTTGCGTACTCTTTTCATGAATAATCTTTCAAAAC